AGCAAAAGATGGTTAGTTTCCAGAAGGTGAAAGGCCACCTAAGGCTCAGAAGCTAGAGTTGATTCATACAGATGTATGGGGCCCAGCCAGTGTGTCTTCTTTTGGCGGTTCGAGATACTACGTCACCTTCATCGATGATCACTCGAGGAAGGTGTGGGTCTACTTTATGAAGCACAATTCAGAGGTGTTCGGAGTCTTCAAGAAGTGGAAGGCCATGGTGGAGAACGAGACAGATCTAAAGGTGAAATGTCTGAGATCAGACAATGGTGGAGAATACGAGCTGGAGGAGTTCAAGAGGTTCTATGCTACGAATAGTATTTGCTTAGAGAGGACTACTCCAGGGACGCCGCAGCAGAACGACATTGCGGAGAGGATGAACAGGACCTTAACAGAGCGTGCCAGGAGCATGCGATTACATGCAGGTCTAAGACATTTTGGGCGGATGCGGTGCATACGGCAGCCTACCTTATTAATCATGGGCCATCAGTTCCATTGGATTTTGGGATTCCAGAGGACGTTTGGAGTGGAAAGAAGATAAATCTCTCACACTTGCGGGTATTTGGTTGCGTGGCTTATGTTCATATCAGTGACCATGTCAGAGACAAGCTAGAAGCTAAGTCACAGAAGTGCACATTCATTGGATACGGTATTAATGAGTTCGGGTATCGTCTTTGGGATGAGAAGAACAGGAAGATCATCAGAAGCAGGGATGTGATATTCAATGAGGAGGTGATGTACAAGAATAGGGAAAATGCCAAGGATAGCCAAAGCAGTAGGAGCAACACTACGGATACAAGTAGATCCGAGTACATGGATTTAGAGGAACTTCCAGATATGGTCATGATGTTTGTTCTGATCAGAGAATGGAGAAGGCTCCAGGTACAGAAGAAACTACCCAGGACGTGGAGCTTATGAGGTCATCCAGGGTACCCAAACCAAATCCCAGATATCTTTTATCTCTTGACTACCTATTGTTAACAGATAGCGGTGAGCCGGAGTGCTATGAAGAGGCAATGTAAGTGAGTGAATCTCAGCAGTGGGAGCATGCTATGCAGGAGGAGATGGATTCTCTACTCACTAATGAGACATAGGAGTTAGCCCAGCTACCTGCACAGAAGAAAACCTTACATAACAAATGGGTCTATCGGGTCAAGCAGGAGAGTGATGGAAGCAAGAGATTCAAGGCCAGATTAGTAGTGAAGGGGTTTCAACAACGGGAAGGAGTGGACTACACGGAGAGATTTTCCCCTGTTGTGAAACTCACAACCATCAGAGTGGTGTTGAGTTTGGTAGCTGCAGAAGACCTCTTTCTTGAGCAGTTAGATGTGAAGACTGCCTTTCTTCATGGTGACTTGGATGAAGAAATCTACATGAAGCAGCCTGTTGGCTTCATTGAAGAAGGAAAGGAAGAAATGGTGTGCAAGCTCAAGAAGAGCTTATATGGTTTGAAACAGGCTCCGAGACAGTGGTATAAGAAGTTTGATAACTTCATGCAGAACAATGGCTACAGAAGATGCAATTCAGATCATTGCTGCTATTTCAAAAGGTTCGAGTCCAGCTTCATTATTTTGTTATTATATGTTGATGACATGTTGGTAGCAGGACCGTGTTTAGAAGAGATAAACAGTTTGAAGAGGCAGCTAGCAAAGGAATTTGCAATGAAGGATCTGGGTGCAGCGAAGCAGATTCTAGGGATGCGAATCAGTAGGGATGAAGCTGAAGGGACATTGAGATTGAGCCAAGCTGAATACATTGAGAAGGTACTTCAAAGGTTCAACATGCAGAATGCTAAAGTTGTTAGCACACCCCTTGGAAGTCAGTTCAAGCTATCTGAGGAGCAATCACCGAAGACAGATGCAGATAGAGAGCATATGAGCAGGGTGCCATATTTTTCGGCCATTGAGAGTCTCATGTACGCGATGGTTTGCACGAGGTCGGACATCGCCCATGCAGTGGGAGTTGTGAGCAGATTTACTAGCAATCCAGGGAAGCAGTATTGGGAGGCTGTGAAGTGGATAATCCGGTACTTGAGAGGGACAACGAACAAGCCATTATGTTTCAGGAGGAAGGAGTTGGTGCTGTAAGGATACGTGGATGCGGACTTCGCCGGTGATCATGATACGAGACGAAGCACCACGGGGTATATTTATACCTTAGCATCGACAGCAGTGAGTTGGGTCCCACGTCTGCAGAAGATTGTGACTTTGTCTATAACCGAGACTGAGTATGTCGCGGTGACTGAAGCAAGCAAGGAGATGATCTGGTTGAACGGGTGCTTGGAAGAGTTGGATCTGAAGCAAGGGAGAGGAGTTCTTTATTGTGATAGCCAGAGCGCTATACATCTTGCCAAGAATCCAGTATATCATGAAATACCATTTTATACGCTCGCTAGTTGAAGACGGAAAGTTACATTTGATAAAGATTTTAGGGAGTCAAAATCCGGCGGACATGTTGACGAAGGCAGTCACCATTGAGAAACTGGAATTGTGCGCAACTTCAGTTGGCCTTCACGAGTAGAAGATGAAGGCGGAGCCACACTACGAGGATCGGCGAGATCGCCGGGATGTTAATGATTGAAGAATGGATTTTTCAAGTAGGAGAAGATGCTTGCGAGAAGGCGGAGTTCGGGAGAGCTCATTGATGGTGGTTTGATCTCCAAGTGGGAGATTGTTGGTCTTGAGAGTGGAGACCCAAACCTAGAATCAAAATCAACAATCGCATGAAAATTCAAGACAGGCCATGAGTGTGGTTTACGCCACACCAGAGTGTGGCAGAATCTGCCCTGTCTGCCATGGGTGTGGTCTGCGCCACACCAGGGTGTGGCAAACTCGTTTTAGAATCCTAATCTATTTGGGATTGTGTTTTGTTATAAATAGAAACACGTCCCTTTAGGGTTTAGGAGAGAAAAAGAGCACGAAAAAAGAGGGTTTTGAGGACTCTTTGAGATTAAAAATCTTAGAGAAAGAGAGGCCAATTGCAAGCATTGTAATCTTCTTCAAGTAATCAAAGAATTGTGTGATGTGGCTCCCGAGGACGTAGGCACGTTGCCGAACCTCGTTAAATCTGGTGTGTTCTTTCTTGTTTACTTTCCTACAAGTTTTTATCTTTGACTTGTGGTGAATTTCTTTCTTGCTCAACTCTCAAACACAAGATCCGGAAAGGCAATGGTTCGATTGATTGTTTCGAATCCCCAACAGAAGGGGGGGAGGGAGTGCAACTTTTACATTGTTAGGGGTGAACTAAGGTGAAGGGTGAACAACTCACCCCTTGAAAACTATCCACATAGGGTAAATGTTTCCTTTACCTCCCCTATTCTCCTATTACCCTAAATCTAAACAGGGTCTTTATGTCTTTCTTCTTTTTGAACGAAGGTCTTAATCCAATTTTGAACGAATGTCTTAATCCAACTTGATGAGGAAACTTCTTCACGATTCTTTAGACCATGGGTATTAAACTCTTAGCCATGGCTAAGGGACACTCCCAACTCATGGTCTTAGGTATATTTTTTTTCTTTGAATTAATACAATTTGCTCTATTTTTATGCTAACATGTTGGATTTTGACCCGGATGCCATAAATTTTGCTTACACGTTTTGACATTTTCAAGATGACTTGAAGATTCAAGCAAGTAATCTAAGCCGGTGGAATGAATTGTTTTTTAAAATAGAAAATAAGATAAATGTAGAATTTGAATAGAAACCTTTTCTATGTGCAAAATTCCATTCAGACTACCTCCGCTCAAGAACCTCCGAAGGGAATTTAAACAAAAATAATTTACATATGGTACGTATAAGAGATTGACCTTTTGCAAATGAAACAAATCCAACAAAGTACTCAGGTTTTTGCTAAACATTTCAATAGGAGCAGTTTGAGTCACATATTGCTCAAGCAACATAAAAACATCAACACACAGATTTCTTACAAAAGCAAAATAACTTAATGGAGGAGTTCAACACTATGGTTTTTGAATTGCAATCATAAACGGCACTTTATATACCATCTATCTAGAAATTTAAAGCATACCAATAAACTTTATCTCTTTATCAATTGCCATAAGTTGCCCTCGTAGCATCTTTTGTGTTATTTAGGGCATGTTTGGCTCCTTGATAGTGAAACATGTTATTTGCAGTGTAGCTGGGAGTTAAGCCGTCTAGCTAGATCTGACGGCTACAATGACACCAAGCTAAAACAAGAGGAGAGGAAGGGAATTGTTGGAGATGTTGCCAACTAGGTTTTTTAGCTACCACATCAGCCTACTCTTTGCACTTTTTCGGGGAAAAAGAAATATGTATTTGCTTTTAAGTTTCTGAAGAGCAAAGAATACATCAAGCAGATGTCCTCATTTTACATAATGCACAAAATTGTCTTATCTTTTAATATGCTAGTTAATTATCATTTTTTAACAAAACATAACACTAGACACAATTTTATTATTAGCACAATTTTATGTATAGCAATGACAGTAAAGTACAATAATCTTATAATCAGATAGAGTCCGATTCCGAGTTTTGAGTTTGGATCTTTATATCATAGACCATACATTATAGCTTATTTGGTCTAGACATGAACCGTTAGAATCCAAAACTAAACTATGTTTGCTATTAAAAAAAACAGTAAAGTAAAGTTATATGTTCATATAAATGAGAGTATTGAGTTTAATTAGATAAGTTCCTTTCTTTGTAAACATTATTCACATAAGTTTATCTGTATATTTGAACATAAATGACATCATTATCACTCAAATTAAAAGTAAAACATCATCCAGAAGAAGGAGAACTCGAAAATTTTATACTAACCATACAAAAAGACAAATCCAACGGCTACGATCTCTCCCTAAAGATCACGCCACGCATCCAAGCAAGCCCACCCGCGTGAGAGAGAGCATCCCTCCCACCCGCGTCAACCGACACGTGTCCGCGTCCAAACCCAAAAGAGAGGCTCAGCCCTTCGCTAATCCCCAAATATAGTAAAATTATCGCACCCCCCTCCCCCTCTATTTTCTCTTACTCTTCGGTCCCCCTCCTCTCCTCTCCTCTCCTCTCATAGAGAAGACGAAGAAGAAGAAGAACGAAGAGAGATCCCTCTCAAATTCCTCCCCTTTCTTTTAATTCATTCCATTTATCGTCTCGAATTAAGGTATCTTTTTTTTAATTGGATCGATTTAGGGTTTTAATTTGGGTTATGTAGGATTGGGAATTGTATCTGATATCAATCGTTGTTTTTTTTTCCCATTATCTTTTTGGATTGTTCGAATCCGTACAAGAGACTCAGTGAAATTTTTGATGCTGATATTTTTTTTGCTTGCTATCGAAAGTTGAGGGTTTTCTTGTGAGATCTAGTGTAGGGTAGAGAAAATTGAGTGGAAAACATAATAGAAATAGGTTAGATTGAGATTAGTTGAAAAATGGATTATTGTGTTGGAATTTGAGGCAAAAAAAGCAAAAAGATCGGGTTTTCCTGTGAAATCCGAGAAAAAATTAGGGATTTCTTTTTTTGGGTAGGATATCTAAGATGACCCTGAATTTTAGTCCCTACTCTGTATTTCCTGCTTCGATCCGGTCCGATGATGATTTTGGATCCCTGGTTTGGGATAAGGGCGTTGAGAATTGTGGCAGTCCTAATTTTTTTGCCTATGAGAATGGAGGGGGGAGAGATTGGACCGATCCTATCGATTTGTTGCCGGCGGACCCTTTTGGTATGGAGCTGAGTTCTAATCTGGCTGCTGCCATTGTTGGCTGGTTTGAGGATCTTGGTGCCAGTTCTAGTGATTGTAAGGTTTATTGTTGGAATGGGGATTATCAAAATCCTGGTGGTTGGTTTGATGATACATTTGAGTTTTTTGTGGGAGCTGAGGAGACTTCGACTTCGACTTCAAGTGGGTCTGGAGAGGACCTTCCACATGAGGGCTTGATGCTCTCGCTTGGTTATCTGGGTGTTCAGGATCTGCTTTCTGTTGAAAGGGTCTGTGAAGCTTTTCGTTCTGCTGTACAAAATGATCCTTTGTTGTGGAGATGTATTCACATCGATTCTCCTTTGAGCGAGAGGATTACCGATGATGCTCTCCTGAGGTTGACCCTCAGGTCTCAGGGGAGTTTGCAGTGCTTGAGCTTGGTGGGGTGCTCGAGGATCACTGATGAGGGGTTGAGGAAGGTGCTTGAGAGCAACCCGATGCTTCAAAAGGTTGGTTAAATAAGTGCTCTTTCATTATGAATTTCCTCTAAGTTCTTGTTTGCACGTCTTAGTTTTGTTATTTACTACCCTTTGTCACATGCCTTTTATACTTTGCAATTACATTTTTGTATGCTATAGATTTTTTTTGTAAGGTTTGAATATTTCTCTCTCATTATGTTGTTCCTTGCTGTCATCATTGATTAATGATTGTACTATTATCAACTATTTTAAACATGCCTGTTGATAGAAATTTTATCTCAGAAAGGTTTGTTGTAGAATGCTACAACATTTCGTTAAACTACACAATTTGAGGCATCCCAATTTGCAAAATCATGCATTACAACATATCGTTACTTCAAATAAATAGTAGGGTAACATTCCAAGTTTTGCTTATACCCTTTTCTGACTAGTTTTGAAATGGGTAAATTTACTATTGGAAACTGTTGCTAATAGTGTTAACGTCTTGGATAAAAGGTTTGAATTACTCTTATTTATATCTATCAACCTACAAGTTCATACGGGTAAATAAAAGAATATACATTACATAAGAGGACATTGTCCAAAATATGTTACATGACAAGCACATGATAACTTATCAGGCATGGAGTTTAGCTTTTAAAAAAAAGTTCATTGTAGTTTTGGAAAATTCACCCTTCTAAAACAACAAAATGGCATGTTCCTATTTTACTTAGTTTTCTACTATTATTCATGAAGATGAATTTCGAGATGATATTGATATGATCAAAGTTGCATATCATTTACGTTACTATCACAAAGTCATACATGCCAGATAAGTTGAGTAATGAGGACCTAGGAAATTTAGCATCTTTGTCAATAAAAAATGGCATTATATGTGATTATGGTTCAAAAACCTGATTCCATTCATGGTGATATCTTTATGCACGTCTAGGATGTTAATGTTGCTGGACGTGCTTTCCTTTCTTGAAGGTTCTTAATATATTAATGATTACCATAATATTCATGATAAAATGGAGAGTTGGAGTCACGATTCAACACTTTCTGAATTCTTCATTGTCTTAGATGTCATGTGTAATCATAATATGAATATTCATGAAAGGAGAAATTGGGTTAAGGTATTAGTTGCAAGAATATTATAACATTAGCTTTATAGTATCAAAAATAAACCAAAAACTGGATTTCTATAATGCAACGGAAAATTGTGACCTTCTGTAATTAGGAGATAAACTGCTAGCTTTTATGTATGGTTCATACATAAACATGAAAAATAATAATATCGCCTTCTTTCTTGCTTAAGCTGTGTTCACCGTAGCTAGAAGGATAATGTACCAACGTGTACGTCTGGAAAAGGTTAATTCTTGGAGGAGCTAACCATCAATATGTTCTATTATATAGTCTTCAAAACTAGTTGTGCAGGACCAGGAATCATATTCTTCTGGCACAGCACTTGTTTACGTTTACCGTTATAAATTTCTTCACCGATGGCTTTGTGTCATGGTTTAAAGTAGCAGCCAATACTGTATCATTCAGATTGCATCATATTGGACTTTAAGCATGCTGAGCAATAGACCAGAAACCAACCAATACCATCTACATTAGCTAATAATGATTAATATAATCTGATGTTGGCAGGAAGATAAGGTCGAATTGACAGTACAGACTACAGAAGATAATTAAGGAATAAAATCAATATTACTTCTGAATTATGGTTAATTCCATCTACCTGGAGTTCTGATAAGGTGAATTGACAGTACAGGCTACAGAAGATAATTTAGGACTAAAATGCATAGTACTTCTGAATTCTGGTTAATTTCATCTACCTGGAATTCTGATCCAAAATTGTTAAATCACAATAATGTGTGAGACCAATGCCAATGATTGTGAACCAAGTAGTGATATCTCAAACCTTGCTTTATGCTTTTGTCAAGTGCATATGTGGTGCATGTCCTGTGTATTTTGTTTTGATTGTTCAATAAGTCAGAAAAATAATGGAAGTTCCTTTTGTGTGTTAATTACTATATTGAATGTCATCTACAATGGGCTAAGTAGTGAACAAGAGGAATAAATGGTTACATATTGTTATAATATTGGATCTAGCTAGCAGGTAGTGAAGTATTTTTCTGTAAACTTATCCTCTTCTTTTAGTTTGTTGTTGTGGAACTCATTCATCCTTCTTTGAAGCATGGAGATGTCAAATTTCATGACTTTGCAGAATTTTCTTTTACTTTTGTCTCTTTTTGCATAAAATTAGAAAGGTGTATGCATGAAGTTTATTTAATCTTCAATAAACTTTCTTTAGTCAGTTAATATTCGGTATGCAATATTTTCCTTTACTAGTGACTCACAATAAGGAGGACCTGTCTATGAAAAGAAATCTACATACTATTTCCATCTTAAGTCAGTATTGTCCCTTACACCAAGAGAAGAAATTAGCATAGGACTTTCCATCTTAAATCAAAATACCTGATTTTCAAATTCTTTAAAGATTTTATCTTGATCTGAGAGAATAATACATCTGCATTTCCAAGCATTATTATTTAAGTTATGCCTATTATCGTCATAGATGGCAAAGAACTAGCTAAAGAATGGTCATGGATATAATAAACAAGCACCAGTTGCTTCTCCCGGAAAAAGGTATCCCTTTTATTTGTCATGAGATTAACCTCTCCATAAAAAAATTGACCTTACAATTCTTTGGGTAGTTTACATGTCTGACACTTAATCTAAGCTCTCATATCCATGTCCGTGTCCGACATTTCTTGGGCACTTCTTAGATATATAGATACATTTATTCAGGCGTGTACTCAATTATATAACACATGTTGTAGTTCCAAAAACTCTGTGATACACTTCTTGAACGTATATCATGCACTTCACCTCGAATTTATGCAACTCATTGGACTCGGGACAAGTTAGTTTTAGCACATACCTAATTCATAAGTATGATTTTAAAGGGTCATTTGGGTACCTAGTTCAAATATGAGTGGTTATAATTTACTCGATAAAAGAAAACATAACAATGGTAAGGATTTTAGTTCATTTTAGTTCTCTTAACATGTAAATGAAAAACAATATCATTCTCATATAGATTATTGATTTTAATGTTTGTGTATATAGTTGTGTTTCCGGATTCTAACTTTTACCATTTTTTCGTGTCCCGTATCCTCACCCACACCCGTATCCGTGCAACATAGGATAAAATATATGACCAAACAAGAAAGGGAATGTCTGTAAGAGTCCTTTTATCAGCAAAGAGGAAACTCGATCAGAGTAATATGCTGTAAGACATACAGAAAGCAAAGGGAACACACTCCCGACACATACTGACACTCAAATACACGTGCAGAATTCAATATTCATGACTTTGACTTTTGGGAAGGTTAATTTACTTGTTGGATCTAGTTAAAGATTATTCTTAGAGTTTACCCTTAAAACTTAATTCATTCTTTATAGTTTGCATGTTTTCATTCTAGTTGCTATTATTGATGCTTTCTGCGCTTATGATAAATGTTGTATCAGTATGTAGATACCTCAAGTTCCCATGCTTAAATTCACTCATAATTGTTTCAAAAGGTTCTTTGGTACTCGGGTCTAGATAGACAAAAGCCTTTCTGTTTGCTCTTTTTGCATAAGTAACTTTGTAATTTTTCATGTAGTATGCCTTGATGAGAAATTTAATCTAGATAGGCAAAAACCTACCTGTTTGCTCTTTTTGCATAACTAAGTTTGTAATTTTTCATATAGTATGCCTTGATGAGAGATTTAATTCCTTTTGTTAGTGCATCACAGACACCTTTTCTCGGTTCATGTATTGAAATGGACAAATTAATTTTACATGGTTTATGAGTGAGCAGTATTTTCATTTTCCTGCTTAGGTTATATTTGGAGGAGATAACTATGTAGGAGATAGTGAAAATAATCTTGGATAATTTGTAATTAGCATTTATATGGTTATTTTTCCTATGGCAGGTTTTTAACATCTTCGGGCCTACGTTTATTTTTATACTTCAGTTTTTTTTAAAAGACAATCATAGTCTATCAGTGTCATGATCTTGCAGTAATATCTTTGTTCTTCATGCAGTTGAGTATATCTGGTTGCCTCAGGCTAACCTTGGAGGGTGTCATTAGCAATCTTAAAGCATTCAAATCTTCACGTGTGACGGGAATAAAGCACCTGAAACTTGGTAGATTGTTCACTGTCTCGCAAGAGCAATATGATGAGCTGCAGAAGTTACTTGGTGGAGATGAACTCAATCAGCCGAAACCATCTAACCCAAGGTTTTATCATCGCGGCGTCTCTTCTATTGCCTGTGATGATAGTGATCGTGCCCTTGATATCGAGTTGTGTCAAGGGTGTCAGAAGTTTAAGCTGGTGTTTGATTGTCCTTCAGAAAGTTGTCGGGCAAAAGGACCGGAGAATTGTAGGGCATGTGATGCTTGCATCGGGAGGTGTGTGCAGTGTGGGAGGTGTGTGAATGACTGCAGATTTGTGGAGACTTTCTTCCTTGACTATCTTTGTTCTGGATGTTGGAAGCAAGCGCCTCTAAGTTAGAGTGAGCGAATTTGCTTCCATGTGCATTTGTTTTGCTAGCTGAGGCCGTGGATGAGGATAGGCCTTAAAGCTATGACATTTGTGCACAAGAGTTCAGAGTATTTAGTAATATGAAACAGAAAAGTCAAAAAAAAGAGGGGAAAAAAGGGAAAAAAAAAAGAAAAAAGAAAGAAAAAAGAAGAAAAGGAATAAAAAAAAAGGAAAATATGATCTCCAATGTTTTAAGTGTAAAAAAGAAACAAGAAACAGGGGGTATCTTCAGGGATGAGTTGCAATGGAGGCAGTTTTGAACTCTTCTATAACACACTCTAGGAAGATGCACATTATTTCTCTGACACGATGTTCCTCATGCAGTTAAGTGAAATTTCTTCAATATGACGTGCACCAGAGTTAAGGGTATTTAGTAATACGAGAACAGGAGGAAAAATAAAAAAAAAAAAGGAAAAAGGAAAAGAAAATGAAAAAAGTGTACGGAGTCTTAACGAGGAAGTGTTACAAAGAAAGGACAGGAAAGCAAGTAACCAGTAGATGTTGGGAAGCCCTTTTTAATGAGTTACTTTGGGGGTGTATTTGAGGACAGCATCTTTGTAGATGAGCTGCAATGAGGTCAGTGTTGAACTGTTCTGTAACTTCCGCTTGGCAAGGTACAGTCATTATTTCTCCGACATAAGGCTTCTCTTGTATTATGTGTAGGTTCATGGGAGCCAGGTAAATGGTTAGGCTTCTTTGCAAGACTAGGCCACTGGCTACATGCAACGGGGTCTAGTCGGTGGCTAGGCTTGGTGGATCTCTTTTCATCTGTCCAGTCAATGGCTAGGCTTGGTGGATCTCTTCTCATCTGACCAAGGATTTTGTTGCGGATGTAGAATATTTTATGTATACTTTGAGATGCATTTCTCATGGATGGATTTTATCATGTGATCTCAATGTACCAGTATATGTTAGTTGTTTTAGGGGTTCACTGATGATGGATTGTGGTATTTGGATGGTTACTGGAGCAGTTGAGCCTTCTATCCTATTTATGTGCATTGTGTATCTGCTGTACTGCCTGTTAGATATTTAGTGGCTGATATCTCGTTAGATGTTTAGTGGTTGATATCCTGTATATGTTTATTGATGGATATTGACAGCTGGTTCAGATTTATGAGAGGAGATTATGTATTTGTGGAAATTTGAGTATATTTGCATGTAGTGTCTCATCATTTTGTATGTATTTTTTTCAGTTAAGAGTTGAGCGCTATATTGGAGCTATGGGAATTATGTTAGAGAAATGTTTCATTCTGTATTGAATAATGTTAGTTTCTTGCTTCTTATTGTTGCTTGTCAAGACGCTGTAAATTCTCCCTGCATCTATAAATCTATTTTGTTTGTTTCTTTGGTCTCAAACAATTTCTGTTTCCTAAGAGTACGTAAGATACTTGAAGGATTTGCTTACAAGTTTTTTCACTTTCAGTTTCATATCTGGCGATACTTGCTGCTTTCATTCTCCTGAGCGCCGTTCTGCGAGCTTGTCAAACTTCTATCTCAAATATGCAGTTTCTAGTTTGATTATTTCTTTCTTGTTTTTCCCAATTTTGAAATGTCAAAACAAGAACTTCAGGAGATAAATTTGTCCACCAGATTTCAATAATTTGCAAATTCTACGTAACCAGTTAAAAAGAAGGAAACTAGCTTTAATAAGGAGCAGCATCCGATGTAAGATCTGCAGAAAAAAAGCTGCCAATGTTTTGTGCCAGAACAGCAGCCTCTGCATAGGCCACCAACTTGGTCCTGATGAATGTTGCCAATGATTGTAACTCAATTCAAATTGCATATTTTCTGTTTTACCTTTGCTTATATGAAGACAATTCCTGGTATCCTAGTGAATATGTCACTGGCAAGTTCTCAAAATCATACTCAGTATTTGGTTCTGAGCTGAAGATATACTCATCCTGGTGACATACCAATGATACCATAGTATTCTGCTTTCAAGCTTGTCTTGCTTGCAACTCTTCAGGTTATTCATGGGCTTTTAACCCTAGAAACTCTTTAATTAAGGAATCATATGCTTGCTACTCAGTAGAGATTAACCATATAACAAACCGACAGTATTCTAGGAAAAAAACAGAAGAGGATAACATCAACAAAGAATTCGACCTGAATGAGAAGCAGACCAGTGTCATCATTCGCTACGTGGAGATACAGTGTGGTGGAGATACAGTGTGGTCGGCTATTCGTTCAATATCCTAAAAAGACTACAAGATTTTACCAACCAACAAAAAATAGGAAAAAAAAAGGGTGATATACAACCCCAACATAGCAACAACACCCCCGGGGGGGGGGGGGGGGGGGGGGGGTGGGGGGGGGGGAGAAAAAAAAGAAAAAGACAAATATAAACCAAAACATAGATAACAAATGAAACTGTCAAACTGCAAAGACAAATATAAACCAAAACATAGATAACAAATGAAACTGTCAAACTGCTTAGAACGCATGATCATCTGTTTTCATCACTTCATCACAAATGAATACTCGATCTTTGCTTGGGTTGATTGGATTCGAAACCAATTTGAATAATCTATCTTCAGTTCACCGTATGCTATTCTGATCCAGTTAGACACCCAAGAGCTTCATGTCTTTTCATTAGACGGTTGAAAGTGGGTAATTAATTCAAAAGACCACGCATCGATACATTACTGGTCCAAGCAAGATTATATAAAGAGGGATATAGACTTGCAAGAGAATTACCACTCGTCCATTTGTCTTCCAGAAACCTCACAACTTCCTGTACCAAGTCTCTACTTGATAACATTGAAGAAAACTTCTCTAATTGAGATTAAATTGTTCCGAAAAGCTGAATTTGACGATTTTACATAACCCATTTGCAATAAGGACCCATTCTTAGTGTATAAGGAATAAAGAATGGAAGCAGCTTGAGGGTTTTTCTTGATGGCTTTCCACCACCATTCCGCTAAGAGAGCAATGTCAAAAGGATCAATACTAATCCTTTTATATTACTGTAACATATTCATAATTTTAACATGAGTGTCAAGTGATTATGCTAAATCGAGTTCTTTAACATCCTTGGGTCCTTTTTTCACCCCCTTCTCAGTCTCATCTGATGTTTGTTTTGAAAAGCTTTTTGTGTTTGGTTTTGGTTCAAACTAAAATGTAGAGAATCACCAGGCTTGCTTTCACTCCAGTGTTATAAATTCATCTACTCTACCAATAACTAAAGTGTGAAATGAACATTTTCTTTTTCACTTTCAGTTAATCTTTCTTCTGAAAAGCTCTTCGTGTTTGATTTTGGTTTAAACCTATATCTCCGAGATTGAACCTTTTTATCTATGATATTAGAAGTCACAGACTAAGATTGGTTATGTTGGAGGTGTCAAGTGTGCCTTAAACTCGTGATCTAAATACACTCACTAATTCTCATATATTGACTAGTTCTCCAGAAGAGGATTCCATCACATCACGATTATGTTGATTAGGTTTCTAAACATGCACAAAAAAATCTCTCATTTTGCTTCATACAAATTATACCCTTTTTCTTTTCCTTAACAAAGAAATATATTCACTTGGTACATTTTTATTTTAAGAGTTGGATTCTTGTTACCCCCATAATTTTTCCACCTAAAAAAACTCATGTTGCGGTTTATTGGGAGGTATCAGGAAGGAATTGGAATGTCATAATATCGATTCATAATAGAAGAAAAGACTTTTTCATTGATTGGAACGCTCTACCCATGGGATAGGGATAGAGGTAGAGGGGAAAACCGAAGATTTTACACAGTACTTTTGACCGAAATATCGATCTCATTTATTTTGTGCCCCTCGCTCGATGAGAAAATGGGTCAGATTAGAAAAGGTTTTATCAAACTCTTTGGCATCGTAGAGAAATTGTTGAATTTTATTGTGTATGTATTTGTTTGTTGATTATGAGGCGAAAGGATAACTCAGAGAGACTCAAGGCAAAAACTTCACTTTTAAGAATCCATTTTTTCTGTCACGAAGCCGTGAGAAGTTAATCATACAGCCTAAATATGGCTGGTTCACTGTTAATCTTCTCCACTATGGAAAATCTATTTTAATTGAGTGTAAATGTGATTAGAAGAGTCCACAAAATTGGATCTCAACCAATTTGTTGTCTATATGGACATATGGATAGAGGTAATCAGAATTCATGATAGAATATTCATATTGGACTTAGCTTTGGACGATTACCCCCCCCCCCACCAAAAAAAACACACACACACACATACACACACACACACACAAAACAATACTTTTCAAAACACTAGAAAACCCCCTCTTCAGTATAGGGATATTAAAAAGCCCCGTAAAAGTCTATACGGCAAGTTTCACTGGAAAAAATTAACCCCCACCCCCCTCAAAAAAAAAAGAAAAAGAAAAAGAATCCACCGTTGTGATTTTACACAGCCATGTGGAAAATTGCAGTTAATGCTGCTAGGGGTGGCATTTTGATAAAATCTTAAAGTTAAAGGGGCTCATTTGATAACCCCTAAATTTAAAGGGGGTTTTATGATCTTTTGAAAGTTATGGGGGGTTATCTAATAATCGTCCAATGTTAAGGGGGTTATCTGATATTTAGCCTTAAAATTATCTCCAAATCTTCTTATTTGTTAACTTCCCCTTCGATAAGTCAGACTGAAATTATACCCTCCTCTATTTAACTTCAGTTAAAAGTTGAAATTACTATTCAATTCTTCTTCCTCTGGTCTCTCTTCTCTCTTCTTAGAAGACACACAAGCTATGTTGCATGGATGCTTCAATTTGGAGCCGCACCCGTGGTGTGCCAGTGTCGTACTGTACCCAACGCTGAAACTTCAGTGGACACTCCTTGGATATTTGTATACACTTATTCAAATGTGTACTTAATTTAAAACACTCGTCATATACTTCTCGGACGTATATCCTACACTTACATATGCAATTCTTGAACCTCATTGGACATAAGATGAGTTTGTTCCGGCCCGTACCCAGCTGATATCTATGATTGTAAAGGGTCTTATGTGTATCAAGCTAAACAATAAGCAAATTTAATAGATCTACATTAAAAAAAGAAACATATAAATGTTATAGGAATTTTATTTCATAGCACGTGAAATGAAATACTTATATTAATCTTAAGTAAATTATTATTATATATACATGCATGTATAGCCATGCCCTTGCACCCTACCTTTCGCAAATTTACCATGTCCCATACCCGGACCTGTACCTGCAACCACACACGTATCCACGTAACTTAGCACACAAGTTTAAATCCAGTCTCTCTATTTCTTTGTAGATAATTCAGACCAAACCCAAACCTAGTCGAATCCCAGTGATGGATAGATGTCCTAAATAAAAAAGTTAAATCCTAAAAAGTAAAGGAATATTTCATTTTTATTCTGTAACAGTATTATCTGGTGGATATAGTTTTGTTTTTAGTACAAATTGAGAGGTATATCAGCAAATAGGTAGATCTAGAAGTCACTCTGAAAATACCAAAGATTAAGTGATATGTGAGTGAATAACCTTTTTATCGTAGTTTACCAGTAAAACAACATTTTGAACCCAAAAATGGAGGGGTCATCAAAGTCTATTGTCTATATCTAAAAGCAATTCTCCTCGTAAGTATAATCTGGTGGTCAACCAACAATGTACAAGTCATATTCATGTCTATGACACAAAAGTTCTGGAAACTCAATCTAATATCATGTTGTAAACCAAACATCAGCTAAAATTCAATCTATTGAAGGTACACAATTTTGTATTAAGCAACTTTAACGGGAAATTGCCATGAACATTTCTATCATGATGCCTTGCTCATATCACATAAATATCAACATTCGAAGTTTCAAATTAGACACATGAAAGATACTTCTTTAACATATCATAGATTTCAACATAAATATACAACAGAATTAAAAGAAATTTTTTATATCTTGTACTCTAGTTATTATCTTATTGTTTATTGTTCAGTGTATTTCTTAAAATTTAAACGAACCCATAAATATAAGTTGTTGTTTTCATATATTAAAATTTTATTTTGACTCCATACTTGTTTTTCTCATGTTGTACATTTACCTGTATCATAATATCCACGTACATGCTGGCTATTATCCAATATAAGTGCTTGTCTAAAAGGTTATCATGATAATTCTTCAAGGATTTTAGATACCTCAGACATAGATCACATGTTTAAGGCTTTAAGGAACACACAACATAATTATTTGCCCTGCCTTAAGTGTATATGATTTTTATTCTTTAGATTCCTTAGCATGGAAGAAAAGGAATGCTGATCATGTGCAAGCAAAGTATCATTAACACCACTTTTTGCTTTGTTCTGTCTTTTATCCCACCTTTTCTCCCTCTTATTTGTTTATGTTGATAAATCAACACTCTTTACATTATGATACTAAAAGAAGCAATTCATTCAGATCTGCATCTTAAAGACATCCAACTGGAAATTCTCTAAGTGGGTTCCAAAGTAGAGATCCACAAAACAAAGGAGAGGTCTTTAATGTTTATATCAGACCCTTTGTTTTGCTCCCAAGTGTCTAAAAAAGCCCCTAATAATGAGCTACAATATTTTCTTAGCTTTCCTTTTCCTTTTCTGTGGACAAAAAGAAATTTCCACACAAATGGTGGCAATATCACGTCCACTTTTAACCATCCATTCATAAATTTAGTAAGAAACCAATGGCCCACCTAATTCTCCAACATAGCTATATCCTTTACAGGCTTGTTGTAGTGTATAAATAAAGAAGGATTGACATAGAGACGGCAATAGAGAGAGGAGAGAGATGGAGCCTTTTAATTCTGAAGGGAATTCTTGGGCCGATCAATGGGACTATCAGAACCCTGATCCTTTGCCTCAGCAGTTATCGACGAAGAATAAGGGAAAAGATGGAAAGTCCAGTTCAACATTCAAGAGGGTGAAGGATAGGATCAAAGAACTGTGCCAGAGGAAGTCGAGATAGAGGCTTAACTCATTGATCATCCATTGATTCCTCTCATCTATGAATCCATGTTGATACTGCTGTAATCTCCTTCCCTCTTCCAGTATGCTGTTTATGTGTATGGAATGATGTAATTTTAATGGGATTTGTTCCTTGTGGGTTTTTACATATCTCTTCAATGTGTTGTGTTCATTTTTTGTTTGCGTAGCTTATTAGAATTCATATTACTGATAGATTTACCAAAAAGACCAAGAAAAAACATCACATCATCCATCAAAAGATGTTTGTATAACCAAATCAAGTTCTCCCTCAACATAACAACAATGACAAAGCCTTTATCCCAAATTTTCGAGATCTGCTACGTGAATCATATTCTTCCATCCAGTTCTGTTAAGAATTATATCCTATGTTAACTATTAATATATTCTTGTTAATTGATTCCAACCAAGTTCTCCTAGGCCTACCTCCAGTCCTTCCACATTAGCTAGTTTCTCAAATGTTCAAGAACAAGATTCTGACCAATGCTTATATTTTTTACAAAATATCCCTTATTCAAGACTCATATTGGCCTTACAAACTATTGATTTACAAGCTAACCAACAGTCTTATTCAAGCTAATCGTTAAATTTTCATCTGAAAGACTAACTTTTCTTTGCATTACTTTGGCGTTGGAAGGGTTACCTCCTATTTATTCCAATAAACATGCATAAAAGAAATTAGTATTGCACAGCTTAGCAAGAGATGTGTATCTGATGATCAATTATACTGGCTTGTAGATGAAAATGATCACTTGGGTCAGAGTTTATACATTAGCATACGTAGCATATGTTATCAATGTTTATCGGATACACACATTTATACATGAAAAAGATGTGTCTTCAGTATCTAATTTAATTCATCATCAAATTGTTTTGTATAAGAAACCTTGATGTGATAATGGGCAATACATATTACTTAAAGCTAAGTTAGGAATAAAGAAATATGCTTGAAAATATCAAAATTTTCATCCACCAAACGTGTCACAAGATTACCTGATAAGCGAAGAATAGTAGCCCCTTTCGATATTTATGGAACATCTTCAATGTTTTTTTCCAGCTGAGGAATTACCCTACAAGAAGCAAAATAATAAGTTACGTGGAGAGCTTGAATTCTCATGGAAGTTTATTTACGAGAGGATGCAAAAAGAAACTAAAATGAAACTCTATTATTTATCAGAATATTCCTTTCAAACTGATGAATACATCTGTAATTTCTAAAATGGTTATAATTTTTCACCTCCCAACTGCCACTCATACCAGTATCTACAAAATAAACGAGACCAAACAGACATATATACATCCACTAAAAACTCCAAATTAATTATTCTAATGTTAAACTATACATGTGAATTTAAGGATGTGAACTTAAGGATGAATCATCCTCAAACGCTTCAACCTTTTATGATTTAAGATATGGATAGTGCATCTCATACATTGTAAATGTTACGCTAGCCATCCATCTAAGAAATCCAGTCAGCCGTTAAGGATAAGCATGAATATAACTCATCAAACTAAATCTATATAATTTCAAACTAAATCTATATAATTCTTTCAGCAAGTGAATTGTTTTTGCAAGAATGATGATAGTAAACGAAAGCGAAAGGTCAAACATAACCAACCTTCAGAAACATCAACCACCAAAATGACAATCAATAAATATGGGATAATGGGCATAAGGTAGTAAACAGATACAATGGAGAAAATGTCTCCAATATTCAACAAGAGAACAGTAATCCTCAATACAAAAACAACAACAAAGCCTTTATCCCAAAATTTTGGGGTCGGTTAGACGAATATCATTCTTCGATTCAGTTCTGTTGAGAGCTATCATTCTCCACTAAATTAACCGTTATAATATCTTTTTTAACTACGTCCAACCACGTTCTCATAGCCCGAACATCAAAACTCAAGACAAAAAATTAAATCATCAAAAGAATTCCACATGACCACCGATATCTCTACACAACATATTTGCCTCACATGCCAATTTCCTACTCCTTCCAATCACAAAGCCAGTCAATCCATGCTTTGGCTTTGGCTCATAAGCTCTAGCCTCAACTTCTTTCCCCAGTAACATCGCCTCTCTCGCTGGCATCACATTCCCCCACCAAAATTCACTAAGAACTCCATGCATCAGTTCCCAATATTCCTTATCCCGAACCACTCTAAAAATTGCGCTCCCATTTGGAGTCCAACAATACAAATCAACCCAATCTCGATCCATAATCTCCATTTGACCTTGCAACTGTGGCATATAATAATAAGGCACTGATTGCCATGGAAGTGCAAGCTCCGGCTTCCCTTTATTATAAGGACACTTCACTTCTAAAATCCCACAATCTGGATAACAATCCAAAAGCCCATCGGGCGAGGCTCCTAACCATCCAAACTGGGCCTCAGCGTGTACCGCAAATCCCAAAAGGCTAACATCATGGCCCGTGATGATTTTGTATTGGTCTATAGCATTGGCCTCTTGGCTCACACCCCAATCCATAGCAGCTCTTGCAGCAGAATCAAATGTATCAACTGCTGGAGAAAAAACTTTTTCGTACCAGAGTTCTGACCGTCTGTTGCCTTTCCAAAAGCCTAAGGCGGTACTAAAAGTGCTAGTGGTTAGTTTATCTTTACGAAGAGAAAACCACTCTTCTGAACGCTGCGGTGCATCCGATGAGGTGAGCTGACTTGAGACTGGAAAGGAGAGAGCAGTGCATGTGCCAGGGATGTAGCCTTCGAAAGATTTTCTTGATCGTAGGAATTTAGAACGGGTGATGTAAGAGTGAGAAGTTGTATGAAGATAATGTCTGCTGGTGGATCTTGGGTTCAGTTGGTGGATCCTAATAAAATCATGCACTGCTTGATGGTTAGAACCTAGAAGATAGAATAGAATAAAGAAAGCAAATTCCATATTAAAATTTCTTTGAAGAGAAGGAAGTAGATAAAGAGGATACCCAATTGAAAGGAAAAGCATGATGTCAACAATACAGTAGTCCAGATTAGTTTTCTAAGTAAAAAGATGTAATAGAGACGATTTTCTGCAACCATTTCACTGTACAAGTGAGAAGTAGAAAGATGAAACACGGAATTGTAATTATTTTTAATTGGTGCACTTGTGGTGATGGGGTTTAAAATCCAAAATAATGAAAATGGGGGGAGAAACTCTTAACAGAATTCATTTTTTTTTATCTTGGCATCTTAAGAACAAGTTAACATCAGAAGAAGAACAAGAAGAAGCCCTATACTAGTCCAGAATTTCATCAGCTTATCTGAATTAAGAGCAGAATCTGTGGCCCATGAATACAACAACTATCTGAACATAATGGCTAGTAGGTTTTCTTGTTACTCACAGATGGAATGCAGTGGACCTCATTTTGTTCTCTTTCTTCTTTTCTCTTTTGTGGGTGTGTATATGTGTGGATGGAGTTGCATGAATGCCCTTTGCTAGCAAAATATTTTAACAAATTGTATTTTCATGGTCTACAGAATTTAAGGCTATCTGACTCCATAAATCTTCTCGCAATATGCATGAAAAGTTTTTACAATTCAATTAGAAGCTGAACTAATTACATTGGAATCATTTGTGTATTTCCAATTAATCACAAAATACATATTCGTTTTACAATTGTCTTATTGCCAGCGTGATTCAATTTGGTTCCGACTTATTTTGCACACAAGAGATGAATGCAGTTCTCATAACAAGCGTCACAATCTAAGCACTTGGTTTAGTGTTTGGATTCTCTTCAGGCACTGGAGATATAGAGGGAAATGCTCATGGGTTTCATGAATTTAAACTGACCATAAGAAGGTCAAGGTTGAGCGTAGTTATCTATGTTTGGAATATGACACCAACCATGGAGAGTTGAGGGCAAGTTGACAGATGTTATATAAACTTGCTCGGTTTGTGGAGCTTTCAAGACTTCCAAATCATTCTCAATTGCTACTCAATTCTGATGGAAAATGTAATGGCGATGATGATATGGCAATGGAGAAAATAGATCATAGAACACATCGGAAACCTAAACATTTTATGATATCAGTTCACTACTTTAGAATTCACCTAGTTCTCTCTCCTTTTTCCTACCATAATGGTCTTATTAACTGTACTAAGTCACGAACATCACAAGTCACGAACATCAGATGACACGAATTTAAGTGATCATAGACCTTAACAAGGTATTATAGGAAACACAAGCTGAATAACTCTATCAAGCCACAATAAAAAGGACTTTTGATGAGAATTGACATAGGCAATTGTGATAGGCGTTGTCAAGGATCAATCTCCTCCAACATATTGAGATGAGAAAATTTCATTCCCATCCACTAAGATGAAACCTGTAAATCTGTAACTGGAACCAATTGATCTACCACTCTATCCAAACTTCTATTGTCTCAGTGAATCAAGAAAATGTAGTGCTAAAAGTTCCAAGAATAGCCTTGTGCTCATGATCAAGTTTTTGGATCTTCAACTGAAATGCCATTGTTCACTCAAAAAGGAATTGCCCTTTTCGTTTCAAAAATTAATCACGTATAGGGAACAAAAATGAAAGATAAAAGAAAACTTTTCAATCTACAGAACAAACTGGAGTATCAAACCAATGACCAATTTAGTTACAACATTTGTTCAAGCACATTATGGGAGTATTAAAACCTCGATAAGAAACGTGAAGCAAAAGCACTGATGAATCCTAGGGTTCTGTGATACCATAGATCTAATTGGCAGTTAAAACCCAAACACTGTCCAGAAACTTCAATCTTCATGTCGCACATTGAATTCGGTCACTGCCAAATTCATGTAAACAATATGACAATTGAGAGTACTTGAACCTTATTATACTCTGAATAATCGATCATAACTGTTAGAATTAATATAAAACTATAATCCTTGATGCTTACCATAACTTTGGAGTTTTGGTGTAATGGTTAGAGAAACTAAATTTAAGATGGTATCAGAGCAACCCAGGTTCAAATCCCACCGGTCACGAATTAAATTCGGATTTTCTAAAAATTAACACCGCTACGTGAGTCTAGGTTTCGACTCATAAAAAGGACGCTCGACCTACGGGAGCATGTTAGAATTAATATAAAACTATAATCCTTGATGCTCACCATAACTTTGGAGTTTTGGTGTAATGGTTAGAGGAACTAAATTTAAGAGTAACGTTGAATAGGCAACTTAAATGCACACTAAAAAAAACCCCTTAATACACATTTAACTCAAAGAACCGGGGGATGCCCAACTTACTTATCATCTCTCTACATAATAGCTACCAGTTCCAAATAACCAACTGAAGCTGGGCAAACAAATAATCCAACTACAATAAGTTCCAGCAATAAACATCACAAAATAAAACCAACCCAGATGAAATAATCCCAGAATTATCACTTTCAACTCCGCAGAGAAACTCAACAGCCAATAAGAAGCAAACCCAAGTGAGAATCAAGCACAAAAAACTACAAGAATTCATAAAGGAAAAGAAAGGGGTCATCACCTAGGTTTGAACTGGGGCGAGGTTCGAAGGGGAATTTGAGCAAACACTTGGGAAGCATGGTTGGATTGAGAGGACGAACAGAGAAAGAGAGAGCAACGAGGAGATGTAGCGATTAGTCTCATCTCAGTTTATCTATTTATTTTGGAATTCTCGACTTTTATTCCTTTTTTTACCCCCTTTTCTTCTTTCCTTCCAATTTTATAGAGATTTTGGAGGCTAGACAGTGAAGGTGGCTTTTGAGAAATTTTGCCACAATGCCATCTGTGAGTAAATTATATAGATACCCAGTGCTGGAATGTAATTTTAATTGCCTGTTTGGATGTTGGATTTGTATTTTGGATTTATGACAAATATTGGAAATTCAAACAATCCCTGACAATCTAAATTTTACATTTGTGTTTGGTTTGTAGAATAGAAGAACGGAAAGTTGGTTTTGAAAAGAGAATGCAATTTGTTCGGTTGAAAAGAGAGTGATAAAGTTAAAAAATAGTTTATTGCCCCACCAATGATTTATTTTATAATTGAAGTATAATTTTATAATATTTAGTAACCATAATATTTAAACATCTTAAATTTGTCATAATTTTTTTTAAACAAGTTTTCTAGATTTTTTTTTATATCTTTCAGAATTTTTTGATCCATCAAAGAATCCTCATAGTTACAACTTTTAATCATCTCCATATTTCCGTCAGCTTAGATGGAGAATATATATTTTACAGACTAAAATACCCCTTTCGTTTATATTGGTTCATATGCTTATTATGAATGAATAAATATATCTTTTCTCATTTTTAATTTTAGTTGCTCTTGACTTATAAGATATGCACAAGACAGACAGACGAGAGAGACAGAGATCGTTTTCATGGCTCTCAGTTTAATCTTGCTAACAACATATAGGTGCCTTGATTTTTCATTTTTCTTTCAATTGTCGCTTTATTCTGATCAATCTTCATGGCTTGATCTCCTAGCTTATGGGGTTGATTTATCCTACTTTATATAAAGTAAATATTTTTCACTAACTCTCGAAATTATCAAGATGATAAAGACTTTCTCTATGATGTAAAAGAAACTCATTCATGATATGGTGACATCCCTTTCAAATTGTTCTGCATCCTGTCAACATGCAAGTGTACTCTTGCAAATGTAGCTAACAATAGCTTTTGGGTATGAAATCTAGCTTTTGGGTATGAAATAATAATAAGGTTATCTTCTATATTTAGAATGGGCTCTAGACTAATTTGTGCAAAATGGCCAAATTGGTATATTTTCTAGAGGCTTGGTGACATGTTGGTATATTTTCTTTTTATTTTGTCAGATTGGTATAAAATTTCAACTCCGGCGCCATATAGGCCTTAAGTTTGGCCGGAGTCAATTTTCCGGCCATTATTCTCATGCGATAGCTCACGTGACTCCGACGTGGCCTTGACGTGGACTTTAGCGTGGCGATATTTAGCGGGAATAAGCGAGTGGTTTGTCTAGAAAATCGCAGAAGAGCAGTAATTCACTCTCATTCTTTAATTTCCCTCTCTTCCCCAAATTGTAGAAGAAAATCGTAGAACCCTAGAGCGTGATGATCCCCAAATTGCAGACGATCGAAGTTCAAGGCTTCCATCTACTTCATCGTCTTTGGCACGAAGCAAAAGGTGAGTGAAAATTTCATATTTTTGAAACTAATTAGGGTAGATTTGATGGGTTTATTGTAAATTAGGGTTTTTTGATGGGTTTAGTGAGGAGTTACAGTTTTTATTGTGATATTGCAGATGGGTCTCCAAATATTGGTTAAAATCAGACATGGAGGAAGTTTCCCGATGGGCTGGGTTGAAGAGTATGTTAGTGGTAGATTTGATGTTAGGTTTATAGACAAAGAGGATCTGAGCATAGAAAGACTGGTGGATGAAATTAGTGCAATTTGGTATAACAATGTCAATGACTTGTTCTATTGTGTTCCTGGTGCAGGGGTTGCAAATGGTGGATTGAGGTCTCTAAGTGATGAAGGTTCATTCATTGAAATGCTAGAACATGCAGAAAGGGTGAAGGTAATTGAAATCTATGTTGAACATGGCATTGATGAACCTGCAGAAGTTATTATGGAAGATTGTGATGTGCTATTTTTGGAAGGTATGAGTCAACCAATTTATGAATCACAGACTCAACCAGTTGAAGCACAAGAAGATATGCAAATGCCAGAAGTGACCACTCCTAAAAAGAAGGGGAAAGTAGCAGGACCCAGGAGATCAACACCTAGGAGATCAACACCCAGGAAAGCCACTGCTAGTGCCAATGAGAAACGAACACCCAAGAAAGCAACACCCAAGAGGAAGGTAACATATCCTTCAACCTCCAGGAAGAAACTAACACCCAGGAGGACAACCAAGCTGTCAACCTCCAGTGAAACCCTGCCACAACAAGAAGCATTAATTTCAGCCTCTTTAGATGATCTGTGTAGTGCACAACAACAGTCAAGTCCATCTAGTGATAGTGACGACTCTGTGGAGGATGAGAATTACAGAATGGATCCTAGGGAGGCATTTGTAGATGATGACTTTGATGAAGATGAACTATTTGATGAGTTTAGCAATAATGGCAAGGGGAAAAAAGAAGAATGTGCAAAAGAAAGAGGATGACAGTGCCTACAGTGAATGTGGAGGGCAATGAGAGTGTGTATGAACCAAATAATGAACCTAGGGAGGCAGTGAATGTGGAGGGCAATGAGAGTGTGCCTGAACCAAATAATGAACCTAGGGAGGCAGTGAATGTGGAGGGCAATGAGAGTGTGCCTGAACCAGGCCAGGAAGATAGGGAGGCAGTGAATGAGGTTCACGGTGCCCACAGTGATGATTCCTTTCAAGCTTCTATATGTAGTAAAGACGAGGAACTGAATGAGATTAGGCAATGCAATAAGGAGATCCTAAGTCAAGAGATGGGCAACATTGCTTTAAACTCTAGTGCAGTACTGGGAGATGGTGTTGATGCAGGTAACTCCATTCAATTTAACACTGTCAGACCCCCTCAGTGGTTAATGTTAATGTACCAACATCACCCCATGAAGGAGTGCATTTAAGAGCTGGATCACAACAACAGTCATGGCTAAATTTTTTTACAAATTATGATGGTGGATATGAATCAGATCCTAGATCAAGTGGTGATGAAGGTCTCATAATGGCAAGTGATGAGGATGAAACTCTTGTCCAAAGTTTACAAAAAAAGCAGCAAAGGTCAAGTATCCATTTTTTAATGAAGAAGTTGACATGAAAAATGCTAAATTGACAATAGAATTGAAGTTCACGTCAAGGGAAATATTAAAAGAAGCAATATTGAATTACTCCATACAAGAACACTATGACATTGTTTATGGAAAAAATGATAAGATGCAGTTGAATGTGAATTGTGCACTCTGTCATTGGCAGCTAAATGCTACACCATGTCGTGATGATACTAGTGCTTAGAAAATCAATAGTATGCACCCTTATCATACTTGTAGCAGGACATTTAAGAATAGGCTAATCACTGAAGGTTGACTTGCAGGAAAATTTATTGATAATTTTTTGAGGGATCCTTAGTTCAAGCCCAAAGACATGAAAACAGAAATGCAAAAACAATATGTGTGACGCCCCTGGGTTCACACAAGGCTGCAGTCCAAGGTAAAACCAAGAATGTCAAACCTGCCATGCACCACACCGTGTAATAACATGTTTCACCATCACAATTAACATCTCTCTAGTAGAGTCAACAACAGGTGTAGGTACAAAAGCAAGTAAAAGATAATACAAGTGATAACTGATGAAATGATAACAACCACATAGATATCTCATCATCCAACCTACAGAAATACATAGTCAATGGCTGAAGTAGATAAACTGGAGTTCTCAACAAGTCTCAAATACAAAATGTCTGAGTAAAGGAAATAAGGCACACCGCCTTTACAACATCTAAAATATAGTCCTCAAATGTTTAACAAAATCTACAGTGGAGCTCTAAAATAAAACATAACTAAAAATAGACAGCTGAACACTAAAGTATGTCGCCATCAACCTACGACTCTCCGGGCTCTTGGCTCGTTACCTAAAAAGGGGAGGGACAACGAGCGTCAAAGCGCTAGCGAGCAACATTACAACCAACCCCAAGGAAAAGGGCTCGTTGTAAGAAAATACAGTTAATACATATAAATCTAAAATCATGGATCCTATCAAAGAGGGTTTTAGTATTTAGAAACTTACAACACGAGCATAGGTACGTCGAGCGAAATAATCCAAACAAGGAAACCCGCATGTATATATCTTGTATCTCAAATTGTAAATCCCTAAACACCAAACCTGAAAACTAGTACGGGAACAATAATAAAAAGAAAATACAACTCATTTCAGAACATAAATACTGAATCACGTCATAACTAACATAGGTGTCATGTCATAACCTACATGAGTGTCATGTCATAACCTCATGTGAAGTGCCATATGCAGGGTTAATACAGGTGTCCAATACATGAACTAGATATAGTGATTTACCAATTCATGGTACAAATGAGTAAATGTCCAACACGAGGACTGAAATGGATTATAGTCCAACATGAGGACTCCTATGGATTATAGTCCAACACGAGGACTGTGCAACTGTGCAAATATTGCTAATATACATAGAAAGATCTACTATACAGATTTCATACTCGACTCGGTGTGCAATTCTAAACTGGTACCCTCAGGTCATCTATCATGCATAGATACATAGTAAGACTGAAAGCCAAAGTCAGAAAATCGAGGAAATCCCCCCAACAGGCGTAATACTCAACAAAAACCAACAAGGCAAAGAATCTATGCGGCAGTCGACTGCAGAGGTCACCCCGGTCGACCAAAACAGTTACACTTGATGATTTCTTATGTTATTGAAATTCTAATATTTCTAATGTGTCATTTGGCAGAAAACAACAAATTTAAACATTTAAAATCTATCACCAAGATCCCAAACATATATAAACATAATTTTGATGTTTTTTTAAAATAGTAAAAACAGGATTAACTTTTGCTAAAAACATTTTCAGATCTAGATCTCATTAATTAAAATTCGTTGGTGAGCTTTTAAAAATCTAAAAAGTTTGATTCTCACATCATATGCTATAATGATCTGTTATCTATACATAAAATATGATTTAGGCCCAATAAAATCGGATTAAAACACAAGTTTAAGCATGAAAACCAAAAGGGGTGAAGTTGGGCGAGATGTTACTCGCCTCTGATGAGAATAAAACCC